GTTACTGGTGAGATTTCGTTTTCATTCTCTCGGCTCCCGGAGCCCAGGGGAGAAGGCTAACCGGGCAGTGCCAGAGAAGAAGCGGGGTCCAGCTGCCTGTGGGCCTGGAGCACTGAGTGTGGCCCGGGGCTGGCGATGAACAGCCTCCTTTCTTAGCCTTTCTCCCTTCTGGGGCCGCGAAAAGACAGAGCAGGGGAGAAATATAAATGTCTGTGAAAAGCTCCCGAAAGAAGGTAAAAACAGGAAAGGGTCTAGTGGGGCTTTCCTCCACTCCCTCGGCAATCAGGTTCTTCCTAAGACTTTCCTGTCCAGACACGCTGCGGGCTGCGGGTGCTGCGGGTGCCGGGTGCCGAGGCTTGCAGCCTTCTTCCACCTTCTCCTGCCGGCGCTGGGGGCAGCCTTGGGCCTTTGGGCCTCCGCCACCCGTGGGTGCTGGGGTGACATTACCCCCAAACTGTGCCCCTTCCGCGGGCCCCCCAGCCTCTGCCGCTGTGGCTGCAGCCGCCCCTGTTTATTGTGTCTGTGAGTTGTTTACTTGTTTTGTCTGCTGCCACCCTGCGTCAGAAACCCGCCAAACCAGCAAACTCACCCAGGAGAACAAAGTGCGGCGCTACCCTCTGCTCCCTCCCCTTTCCGGCACCCTGCTCCAGCCATCACCTCTTCCCTCCCTCTCTCTCTCTCTTTCCCAGGGGACGAAGCAGAAATCGTCCTAAAATAGGGCAGCTGTTTATAGGGTTGGGGGAATTGTGGGGACACCATAAACCTCCGGGTGTCCTGGTGGTGGAGGGACTTAGAGCTGCCCTCCCCTCGCCTCCGGCTTTTCTTTTTTCCCCCTGGCAACTGCTTGGTTAGGGGGGCCACAGTCATTGAGGAAGCTGAGCCCCCCCTACCCCACTCCTCCACTCCTTTCTGCAAGAGTTTTCCTTGAGACACAGGTTGTTGGGTTTTAAATCAGGGTAATGTTGGCGGATTCATAAAACTAGATAAAGCATGTCACTCTCCCCTCGCCCTCCCTTCTCCTCAGCCCCCCAAAATAGCAGTGAATTTAAGCAAATCCTACAAAATTAAATTGCCCCTTTGCTAAAGATCCTATAAATCTCCAATCCCGCCAGGTGTAGAGTCGGAGAGGCCGCTGTTCGCCTCTAATTTTGCTCCTGGCTATCAAATCTAAAAGAGTAGCATCCAAGTAAGTAATATTCTCGATTCTGAAATTAATTCCCCCCCTCCCCGTCTCCCTCTCTCTTTTCACCAGTGCAGATTAAATGGTTCTCAGATCTGCAAACAATAAAGGATAAAATTATTTATAGGGAGATGAGGACGATGTTTCATTGTTGGCTTATTGTTCCAGAACATAATAACATTTTATTTTCAAGTGGGAGAACTTAACGCCAGGGGAAAAGGGAAAAGGAAAAAAAAAAAGTGAGGAGAGGCAGGGCACCCCCCCCAAAACTCCTACTGTATATAACTTGTATGACATTTACAATTTCCTCATGACAACTCACTGTGACGTCATAAATGCCATGCTCCTGAATTTTATAATGCTCATAAACCTCCAAAGTGGGTCTGAGCAGTGCTTGGTGGGGAGGGGTATACCAGAAGCCGGGAAGTTGGGGATCCTTTGGGATCCATTCTGGGGGGCAAACGTATTCTTAATATTTCAGATTTTCACTCTTCCTCCTGGGCCAAACTGGGCCACTTGCTTTTCCTCTCTGAAATGTCACTCAGCATCTGGGTTCCCTCCCCATGCCCAGTGGGGATGAGATACTGTATCCAAAGGCCCTCTCCTCAGCTGGTATTCGGCTGCTTGGGGGCAGAGGTGGGACGTGGGGGGGGGGGAGGTCAGGCCCCTCAAAGCCAGAAATGATTTCTTCCAAAGGGAGCTCACAGGGGCTCAGGGCTGAGTGGGATGGGACAGAGATGCTTGGGATCTGTTTTCCTTTTTAACCTTCAGTTAGTGAAGTGAATTGAGAAGCTAAACAAATGGCATTGTGGGAGCCTGTGTCTGCTGAGTGGAGTGGTGGTAAAGAGAGGTCAGTAAGAAATCTGGAAAGAGAGAGGGAGGAGAGAAAATAGGATGTGAGTTAGCAGTGGCTCTCCATGTGCCTTTCTCCTCTGCTTAATTGCAAATAAAGCAAAAGCAGCCTGCGCGGCCTCTCAACCCCTTAGCTCAAAAGAGGAATTGCCAGGCCAGGCCTCAGAGGTGTTTGGGGGCAGTTCTCAGGCACTTGGCATGTCCCATCTGGCCCCTTCCTCTTTCCCTCCTCCCTGCTGACCCCCAACGCCATTCAGCTGGCCAGCCTGGGCCCTGTCCCCAGAATATCAGCACCCCCAAACGGGATCCATTTCTGGGTTGGATGTGTCACATTTCGCCTTTCTCCAAGTGTCTCCACGCCTGAACTTTGAAAGCAGAGGAACATTCTGTTTTGGAATGCAGTGTGCGTACGTTTGCATGGGGAGGTATGCGCCCAGATAGCTTCCCTCAGCATATCTGCGAGAAACTGGAGGCTTCTTGGGTGAGCTCTGCTTTGGTGTCCCCAAGTGGACCCAGGTCGCCCGCATTCAGGTTCTCAGGCGGACTTGGAGACCCTCTTTGCAATCCTTTGGCTCTGGATTCAGTGGGAGATCAAAGGAACTTAGACGCAAAACACTAGACATTTGGGGCAGGATTTATTTTTTAATGTTTAAGTGTAAAGAAATCTGATCAGAAGCCAGTCGGGCCAACCGAGCAATCGCTCTAGAACAGCAAAGCCTTAACCAAACAGTGCGATTGTAAGGTGAGCTGAACAATTATTGAAGCTGGGCTTTCTCTGCAAGAGGGATTTCAGCCCTTGCTCAGTGGCACAGAAGGGGCTGGTGGGGCAACTGCTCCTCCCCCTGGTCTCAAAATTGAGAACTGGCCGGGGTGGGTCCGGCAGCTGCAGAGGTTTTGGGGCAGCCGCGCGCGCCCAGGCCGAGCGCTGAATCCTGCGGCCCCGGTGTCCAGGTCCTTGAGCATCCTCCGGAGGCGCGAGCTGTAGTTGTGGCGCGCGGGCAGCCAGCAAGGGAGTGTGTGCGTCTGTGTGCAAGGCTGGGTGAGTCACAGACATCCGAGCAGAAGTGGGGGGATCTAGGCAGAGAGAGATGACTGGCAGAACACAAACTAACCCAGGACCTCTGGAAAAGGCTGTCCCCCATTAAAAATTCCAGACCTCATCCCTCTCCCTTCAGATACCCTTCCCCAAGAAATTAATAGATTTCCTAGAGCGGAGTGGAATGCAAAGGCGGACAAGAGGAGGCCTGCCCACGAACCCCTTCCCAGCCAGAGTCCAGTGACACCCATCCTCTCCCTGGTCCAGAGCTGCATCGGCCCCCAGCCTCTGGCCTGGAGCAGGTTAAGGCTGGGGTAGGAGCGCTTGACTCCTGCTGAGAAACCTTCAAGTGCCCAGCCTCCAAAGCACCCCTTAGCCTCTGGGACTCCAGGCCCCTGACTGCCCCCCATGCAGGCCCGTGGCGCCTGCAGTAAGTCTCTCTCCTATAATTAGTGCTCATGAAAAGCATGTGTTTTGGACTGGGGAGATGGGGAGACTGGAGCAGCGAGCGGCAGCGTTCCCCCTTTATTCCTGTGCTGTGTATTTTGAATTCTGTTTTGGAATCCACTAATTACAGCTCCGAAAGCGAAAATCTGTTCTCGCCGCCGCCAAACCCCCTCGGAATGCCTGATTCCGGAGGCCCAAGGGGCAGAGCAACTCGGAGACCTGCGGGCCTGATGGGGGTGTTCTCTGATTGCTCTAGGCTTGTTTTATAGAAACAAAGAACAAGTCCTCCCCCCCCACCCCTCCCAGGACTTGTGCATATTTACAGAGCTCAACTGCAGTTTTAATAAAACATCTGTTCTTGCTTCTGCTGATGAGTTTCCATAATTGTTTTCAGACAAATTTAACAGGAAAATATAAATATATTTAGAAAAACCCAAGTTCCAGCTCTCCCCCCATAGACAGTCACTGTTTCGCCAAAAAAAGAAAATTAACGTAAGATGAGAAAAGGAAAATATAATCCAGTGGAGGGAAGATCGGGCTCATCTGACCTGCTCTCCCCCCTTGGAGCGAATCCTTCCAGCAAATTTCAGCTGCATAATTAAAGATCTAACTGAAAGAAGAAGGCTGCTTTTCTCAGGAATGGAAGGTAATGGGGGAGAGTATGTTGGAAATTGATTTTGCTGAAAAATCTCTAAGCAGTGGGGGAATTTATTTGTATTTCTGCTTCCCCTCCTTTCCCCCTTCTAGCATTTCTGCCTTTTTTCCCCCAGCAGCTGGTTTCTGTTCATTATAAATCGGCGAGACCTTTCAGTCTCTGCCCTCTGTTTAGGGACGTAATAAAACACTTAACTTTCCGGGGTTGAGACTTACATTCTGCTCCTCAGGTCGCCCACCCCCGCGCCCACTGCTTTTAGGCCCCAAATGAGACTATCCCCAACTTTGGGGCCCCTCTCCCCTCCAGACTTTGTTTAGGAGGGGCTCAAGGAAACCCAGGCATCCTTGCTGGGGAGCTGTATAGCACATGCTTCCCCAGGAGACCCTTCTTTCTTCCAAGGTCCTTTCTTCCCCCCACCCCCCCCACCCATAAAAGAGATTTAAAAATATATAGAAAATCAACACTCATTGAAAACGAAACCTCATTAAGACATCCTATCTTCCATCATTCAATTTGTTGTACATTGCAACAATTTAATATCTTGAAGGAAATATCACTGACATGATTTATCCCTCTAGCAATCTCTCTCTGAAATGGGGGGAGAGGAGGAGGGAATTTACTCTCTCTTCCGGTCTGTTCTATGTGTTACACTGCTACCCTTAGGGCAGAAAGGAGGCTGGGAACTCTGGGAGCCGCCACTTGTGTCCAGGGGTGCACTGACTTGTTTCTTAGCTCAGCCCCTTGGGTCTCCCCCCCGCCCCCCCCAGTTCTTTCTCACTCTACCTCTTTGCCCTCCAGGGGGCCTGGAGCCCCAGCCAGCTGTTGGAAAACCTCTGTCCAGGCATGCCATGAATTTGAGGACAGCTGGATTCTAGAGCAAAAAGCAAGACACGCTGGTGTGTTTATGTACCTGGCATGTCACCCCCAAATTGTGAGACAACCCCCTCTCACAATCTCTCCCTTACTTTGGAACCCTCCTCCACCTTTTCACTTTTATCTCCTTGGGTAGAAGAAAAGTATGGTCGACAAGGGGGAACCTTGATAATATAGGGACCTTTCCCTTCACCCTTTTAAATACCAACAAATGTCCCTCCTTTCTGAAGGGTTGGGGCTGTATTTTTAAGAGCCAGCACAAATTGTCAGACAGGAAGACTCTTCAATCCCCTAACGAGGCTCATGTATTAACTAACATGCTGTCTCCACCAGCTCCTACACACTGTCTGCTTTTGGGTTCGAAACTTTATTTTTCCCCCCTAGCGACACTCCAGGGAAACCTTAACGTTACAGAAGATGAATAAACGGGTTTTTTCCCAGCATAGTCCCGTTTATGGCTTTATTGCTACCCATTGATTACTCCGCTTTGTTACACAGAAGGAAAAGATCATAAAATCCGGCGACATCCGGGTTCTTGTTATAGCCACCCCCCCCCCCAAAATGGTGAAGAGAAAATATGAGCTTACACTGCTGCCTTCGCCAGCCCCACCGCCCCCTCTTTGTCAACTCAAAGCATTTTCAGCCTATGTCACGATATCAAATGAAGTTTGGATTAATCAGGAGAAAATCCACATCTGCACACCTTCCGCTGTTTCAGTTCGCCCACTGCGGCTCGTGCTCAGCTGCCTTTTCCTAACCTTCTCTTCCTTTTTCTCGGCCCCAAGGTGGAAAGAAAATGGGGGTAGGGGCTGCTCAGAGGCCCGGCTCCGCCAGGTGTGGCTGGCCCTTGAGTGAGAACTCCCCAGGAGCCCTTTTCTGGAATCTCCCAAGCCCCAGAGCTCAGGTCCAGGGGTGCCTCCCTTGGCAGGCGCAGGGGGCTTCTGACCTGTGTAGGGGCTTGAGCCTGCAAGACGCTGACTGTCCTTCAGACCCCCACCAGCCTTCTCTGTCTGCCTGGATCTTATGTGAATTACCCCACCGGCCCTCGCTGGCTCCAAATCATAAATTCTCACCAACATAAACAGGAGTTGATGTGTCTAGAAAGATTCTCAGAGTTCTTTCTTCTTCCTTTTTTCCTTTCTGTCTCTCTCTCTCTCTCTCCCACCTTTTACTCCTTTCTCTCTCTCTTTCTATTGTATTCTCACACATTTTCCCTTTTAGGCCAAAATGCTGCAAGAGTTGCCCCCAGAAGGGGGGTTCTGAGAGGCAGAAGGGGGCTAAGAGGAAGAGGAAAGCAGATGCATGGCCCCTTTGCCCACTTCAGCTCCGCCACTGTATCCTGAAGTCTCATCCTTTCCCCTTTAGACTGACTTACTCCCTACATCCCCCTTATACCTAAGACTATCAGCCACATTCTCCTTCCTCTGAGCACCACGTTTTATGGAGTTGCTTTCTACTTCTGATTTTTTAATTATGGGGTGGGGGGGAGAGTGGAATACTGGTTTAGTGATGAGGACTCACTCCATGGAGGGTCAAACCAGGATTTCCTGCAGGATTTCTGGGGATTCCCCCCTGAGCTGGGAAGGGGCTCCTCCCATGGAGAAATCAGAGTGTACTTTTAGAAGGGGGAAGAGATAAAAGGTGAAATCAGATCGAAAAATAGAGGGACCTCTCCAGCCCTGGCTGTAGCCACAGCGCAGTAAAGTTAGCTGGGGCTGAGAGATTTCCTAGCAGTGTAGCTCCTCTTTCCTGGGCCCCAAGGCCCTGCTAACGCCTGTTCACCCTTCCCTCACCTCCAAATCAGTTCCCCAACATATATATTTTTAAAAGAAATCCAAGTCTTACTTTCAAAGCACACACTTAGTCTCAACTAGGGAATCAACAGAAGCAGAAGCGATTTTTTTCCCCCTTCTTGACATCTGGCTTGCGATTGGCTGGAAGAGGGTCAGCTGACTTTGTCATTTTGTCTGTCCTGGATTGGAGCCGTCCCTATAACCATCTAGTTCCGAGTACAAACTGGAGACAGAAATAAATATTAAAGAAATCATAGCCCGACCAGGTAAAGGCAAAGGGATGAATTCCTACTTCACGAACCCTTCCTTATCCTGCCACCTCGCCGGGGGCCAGGACGTCCTCCCCAACGTCGCCCTCAATTCCACCGCCTATGATCCAGTGAGGCATTTCTCGACCTATGGAGCAGCCGTTGCCCAGAACCGGATCTACTCGACTCCCTTTTATTCGCCACAGGAGAATGTCGTGTTCAGTTCCAGCCGGGGGCCGTATGACTATGGATCTAATTCCTTTTACCAGGAGAAAGACATGCTCTCAAACTGCAGACAAAACACCTTAGGACATAACACACAGACCTCAATCGCTCAGGATTTTAGTTCTGAGCAGGGCAGGACTGCGCCCCAGGACCAGAAAGCCAGTATCCAGATTTACCCCTGGATGCAGCGAATGAATTCGCACAGTGGTGAGTTTTACAGCTCCGAGATATAAATTAAATAAACTGAACTGGCTTTATGACCGGCTTCCCTAGAAGAACGGGCGGAGAGAGTTTTTTATGGCCCCATAAAAACAATCACGCTCGTCTCCTCGCCGACGCCGAGACAGGGCCCCCTCTTCTGCCCCCTCTGCTCGCCTCCCGCCTGCTCGCAGGGGCCTGGCCCCCTCGGCCCCTGACGCATTGGAGGGCTCCAAGGCAAGCTGAGGGGGCAGGAACAGGGCAGGGTATGAGGGGAGGGGGCACAGGGTGGGGGAGCCCCCCAAAGTCGAGTCAGGCTGAGGAGAAAGGAGGGGGAGAGTAGGAGGCAGAGAAGTGGGGAGAAGTTTCCAAAGAGCTAGGGTGCTGGGGGAATTGGGGGAGCCCAGCCCTTGAGAAATGGGGCCCTCATCCCCAGTGTTGGGGATTTTTCAAAACCCAGTTTGTAGACTTACAGCTTTCTGCCTGGTTCTTGTGCCCCCCCCTCCTCTTTTCTTTGGGACACTCACCCACCCACATGTGGTGGGGGAAGTGAATGAAGTTGGGAACCTGGCTGTACCCCCAGTGGGGGTGGGGCAGGGCGAAAGGGAGAAGGGCTGGAGTCTGAGGGGGCCCGTTAGCTGCTGGCCAAGTTGGGAGGGTCAGGACTTTGCTAGGCTGAACGGTCTGCGGAGGATGCCTTGCTGATCGTTTTTAGTGTGTTTTGTGCCCGGATCTCTAGGGGTCGGCTATGGAGCGGACCGGAGGCGCGGTCGCCAGATCTACTCGCGGTACCAGACCCTGGAACTGGAGAAGGAATTTCACTTCAATCGCTACCTAACGCGGCGCCGGCGCATCGAGATCGCCAACGCGCTCTGCCTGACCGAGCGACAGATCAAAATCTGGTTCCAGAACCGCCGGATGAAGTGGAAAAAAGAATCCAATCTCACGTCCACGCTCTCAGGGGGCGGCGGAGGGGCCGCGGCCGACAGCCTGGGCGGAAAAGAGGAAAAGCGGGAAGAGACAGAAGAGGAGAAGCAGAAAGAGTGACCAGAACTGTCCCTGCCACCCCACTCTCTCCTTCTCCCTTGCCCCCCCTCCAATTCCCTCCTAATCACACCCTCTGTATTTATCACTGGCACAACTGATGTGTTTTGACTCCCTAACACAAAATTAGGGAGTCAAATATGGACCTGAAAGTCAACTCTGGACCCCCCTCCCTCACCGCACAAACTCTCTTTCACCACGCGCCTCCTCCTCTTTGCTCCCTCGCTAGCTCGTTTCTCGGCTCCTCTGCAGGCCCCTTCCCGCCCCACCCCCCAGGCCTTGGGGGCTCCGTCCCTGAACCTCGCTTCAGCTCCACAGACCTCCCTTCAAATGAGGACTTGGCCTCCCACCCCCTCGGCGCCCCCACCCCCGCCCCTGCGCGGAGAGCTGGCTCCCGAGCCGGGGCCTCCGCTCCGGGGCCTCAGGGCCCGGCCTGGCAGCCAGGGAGGGCGGGAGGCCCAAGGAGAGCACGTCGTGGCCCCACCGCAACCCCCAGGGCCTCCCCGCAGCCCCTGCCCGGCCCCTCTGCCCCAGGAAATGCCCAGCCCAGGCAAATTGTATTTAAAGAATCCTGGGGGTCATTATGGCATATTACAAACTGTGACCGTTTCTGTGTGAATATTTTTAGCTGTATTTGTGGTCTCTGTATTTATATTTATGTTTAGCACCGTCCGTGTTTCAATCCCATCTTAAAAGGGGAAAAAAAGAGGGAAAATTACAAAAAGAGAGAAAAAAAAGTGAATGACGTTTGTTTAGCCAGTAGGAGAAAAAAAATAAATTTAAAAAAATCCCCTCGTGTTACCCTCCTGTACAAATCCGACCTCTGGATCCGTTCTCGAATATTTAATAAAACTGATATTATTTTTAAAAGTTTATATTGGGATTTCTGTGGATTCGCTCGCCCGCCGGCCTGGGGTGAAAGTTGCAGCCGGCTCCGAGCGCTCCCGCGTCCGCCCGCCGCCTGCAAGCCCCCAGACCCTTGCGCTCGCCTTCCCCGGGAGCTGGGCGCGCAGAGCCGGGGCCTCCCCGTTCTCCCGGTGAACGTGCTGGGGGGGCGGGGAGGCCTCTCTGGGCCTCCCCGCGGAACAACACACTGATCCCGCAAAAAAAAAAAAAAAGGCCGCCTAGGATCTCGGTGGGGGTGGGGGGAGAAGCCCCGGTTGCTCGGATTGGTCTCCAGCCGCACACAGGCCTTTCTTCCGGCCTGTGGTCGTCTGGGGTCCTCGGCTTCTGAACCCCGAGCCCCCAGGGGCCAGAAAAGCAGCGTCCTCCAGGCCCCAGGGCCTCTCCCGTCCGCCCCCGGGAGTGAGGAGGGGGGCGCCGCGCGAGCAGCCCCCCCCCCCCCCCGGGCCCGCGCCAGGCCGACTGTTGCGAAACGTGGCGGAGGCGGAGAGCCGAGGGGAAAGAGAAGACCGCGGGATTTGAGCCCTTCCGCAGGGACTGAGCGATTCAAGGACATCTCGAAAAAGAAAGCCTGGAAACTGAGCCTGCTCTGGGACTCCTGACAGGGCTGGGACAAAATTCCTGCTTCCTTACAGCCCCAGTCCCCGTCTGCTTCCTTCCTTCTTCTTCTGCCCTCAAACTCGGCGGGTGAGGAGCGCAGCCAGACCCTACCCTAACCCTTCCCCAGCTCAGGCCTTCTCTCCTTAAGCCCAGACAGAGAAACCTGAGTGGACCTAGGGGGCGAGGTAGTGAGGGGGTCTCCCGGAGGGAAAAAATCCGCCAGAGTTTTCCAGACCTTCCAGATCCCCGCCAGCGCCCCCTCCAGCGCCTCCGCCAGCGGGGGGGGGCAGGCGGGGAGGGGGGCTTCTTCTGCCAGGGGCGGGGATTTCCTGGGGAGAGGCAGGCAGGAAAGAATAAGACTTGGGGCTAGGGGAGGGGGTTCGGAAAGGGGCCGAAGGGCTGCGGAGCCCCTGGCCGCAGGCTGTGAAGGTTGCCCAGGCGCCTGACCTGCCCGCCTCCCCCATCCCCACCCCCAGCCAGGTCCTTTACAAGCCTCCAGAGAGCTCAGAAATTGCTCTCCTGTGGACCTTCTGCATCTAGGTCCCTGGAAAACCTGTTCCAGAGGCCTTTTCCTCTGCCGTGCTCATACATTTGTGGAAGCTTGAATCTTGCTTCTCCATGCCCTCAATTAACATCTATTTTCTATCTCAAATATCTGGCAAAGGTACCACGTGAGGATCATACACACGGATACAGAGCAGTCCTCCAAGCCCATTGTGTCTGGTAAAATACACACACACACACACGCACGCACGCACACACACACGAGAGAGAGAGAGAGAGAGAGAGAGAGAGAGAGAGAGGGAATTGTCTTGTTGCCACTCTGGGGTCCCAACATGGTGAGGTCTACTCAACTGCCCCTGGATCCTCACCTTCCAGGCTCATCCCAGAATCCCCACGACTCTCAGCTTCGTGACCCTCCCCCCATCTAGTTCTGCCCACCCAGGACCCCTCCTTCTCTGGACACCCTGTCCACCTCTCCAAGGACTGGGTTCACTTCCACATGCTGACAGTCACCTCCTCAGCAGTAGAAGGATCTTGGGGCCTCCAAAGAGAGGGACTTCGACACTTAGTTTAGAGAAACTGAGATAAATCCCCTGAGGTCTCCAGCCAGGGCAGCAACTACCCCCCTCCCCCAATCTCCTTCCTTCAGCCATTTTTGAAGCTTGAAAGGCTCTGGGGGAGGGGAGGACAGGGATATCCCTTAGTTTTTGCATCCTAAACGAGGCCTCATCTTTTCTTAAAACTAAATACAATTTAAAAGGCCATTTCAAGGGTTTGTTGCAGCAACAACCAGCTTCTCCTCTACAGGGTAGAAAATCCAGCGGTCTGAAGGCGAGCCGACAAGCCAGGATGCAATTCCTCCAAGTAGGCACCAGGTGTCGCTGTGGGCTCGTTGTCCCGGCTACCCCCCAATTCCAAGAACCATTTTTTTTCTCCCCCTTCTCTCGCTCTTTCTCTCTCACTCCCTCTCCCCCTTGGTTGGGCTTTGCCAACATATCAAGATGCGTTTCGCCGGCTTCCATCACTAACCTCCCGGAGGTCATCAAGCCAAATTTATGAGTGGCCGCTCCAGTCACGTGACTCTATTTAAGGCTCCCTTATTTGGGAAGAGCGCATAGGATAAAGAAAGAGATATCTCCACCTATAAATTGTGCACTTTGGAGAACAAAAAACCCCTCAACTTCAAAGAGTCACAAATCACCCTTAATCAAAAAGGGTGCAGAAATTTTTTTTGGGCCCTCCCCGCCATGAGCTCCTACGTAGCCAATTCATTCTATAAGCAGAGCCCCAATATCCCTGCCTATAACATGCAAACTTGTGGGAACTATGGATCGGCCTCAGAGGTGCAGGCATCCAGGTACTGCTACGGTGGATTGGACTTAAGCATCACTTTCCCACCGCCTGCGCCTTCCAACTCTCTCCACGGGGTAGACATGGCTGCCAACCCCCGGGCTCACCCCGACCGCCCCGCCTGCAGCGCCGCGGCCGCTCCGGGACACGCTCTGGGCAGAGATGAAGCGGCTCCTCTGAACCCCGGGATGTACAGTCAGAAGGCGGCTCGCCCAGCGCTGGAGGAGCGAGCTAAGAGCAGTGGGGAGATCAAAGAGGAGCAGGCGCAGACAGGGCAGCCCGCCGGACTGAGCCAGCCACCGGCCCCGCCACAGATTTACCCGTGGATGACCAAACTGCACATGAGCCACGGTAAACTTTAGGACTTCATTTTGCGCGCTCGGGTCCGCCTGGGTTTTATAGGCCATGCGGGGCAAATAAAGAAAAAAAACCTGCGGCCATAAATTTTACGATCCAGGCATCAATGGCTCGTAAAACTGTCCACTAAAAGGCTTAGAGGCTGTGTGCGCCCAAATTTACGACGACATAATTGGATCATAGGAACAAAACGTGTATAAAAGGCAATATTCAATTTTTGGGGGAGAGGGAGGGAGTTAAAAAAATAGAGGGATCTGAAGGGTGAGGAGCGCGGGGCTCCAGAGCGGGGATCCCCCCGCGGCTCCCTCCCTCCCACCCCTGTGGAGCCGGCTCGGCCGGCGCTGGCCGCTCCGGAGGATTCCAGCGACTCCGGGAGGGGTGGGAGGGGGGTCCCCGGTGCTCGGATCTCGAGGGTGCTTATTGTTCGGTCCGAGCCTGGGTCTCCCTCTCCCCCCAGCCCCCTCGGCCCCTCCGGCTGCTGAGTGAAGGCTGCGGCGGAAAGTTTCCTGCCAGGGCGGAGGCGCCTCTCCCGGGGCTAGGCTGGGCCGGGCCGGGCCCGCCTGCGGCCCTCTGGGCCTCTCCTGCCCTGCTCGCCTCCTTCCCTCCGGCCGCGGGTGGGGACCTGGGCTGGGGTCGGGACGCTGGGGCGCTGCACGCTATTCACCCCTTCCTGGCTTGGGGCGGGGGGATTTATATTCCAGAGACGGACGGCAAGCGGTCCCGAACCAGCTACACGCGCTACCAGACTCTGGAACTGGAAAAAGAATTCCACTTTAACCGCTACCTCACTCGCCGCAGGCGCATAGAGATCGCCAACAACTTGTGTCTCAACGAGAGACAGATCAAGATCTGGTTCCAGAACCGCAGGATGAAGTGGAAGAAAGATTCCAAAATGAAAAGCAAAGAGGCCCTTTAGAGGCAGCGGGGAGGCCCGCAGCTAGCGCCCTGAGCCCGCTTTGCTCCCTGCGCCTTTCCTTTTCGGTTTTCCGCTCTCTATATTTTTTGGGGCGAGGGCGGGGGCTGCACCTCCGGCTCCGGGGCCTCACAGACAAAAGCGCTTTTCCTCGGCATTCCGCATCCCCACCGACCCCAGGTTCCCTCAGCTCTGCTTAGCACCGGGGGGGCCCAGGGCAAGCTCCGCAGGGGCTCCCCAGAGGGCGGTGGAACCCTGGCCTGGGCCGCCTTTCGGGCTTCCAGCCCCAGAGCGGCCTGCAGGCGTTAAGGTCGGCCTTGCGGGCTCCCCAGGCCCCGCGCCCCGACCCTCCAGCCTCCCCTCTCCTTTGTTCCCGGCTTCGGCTGGCCAGGCGGCTGCGGGCTGGCGAGAGTGGCTGTGCCCGGCGGAGCCCGGGCGCCAGACTCGGGGTGCTCCGTCGTAGCGACTAAACGCCTAGTTCGGTTTTTAAACGATTTGCATATGAAAGGGGGGAATGACTGCAGGTCCGCCTGGGGTCCCCTCGGTTGCCCTCGGCTCTCCAGACCTTCTCCCCCATCCCTAAGCCCGGGAACCTCTCCAGCCTGCGCCCTCTGCATGTCCTCTCAGGTCCTCCCCCACCGCGCAGACCATTAGCTAGCTCAACTTTTGGGGTTCCTTGCCACTGGACCCCAGCAAGCAGTCCCAGAGGCTCCTGGCTACCCACTAGTCCCTGCCATGACTTTCTGTGCCCTCCTGCCCCATCGCTGATGTCCAACTATTTATTGACTCCAGGTCTTTCCTGAAACTATATTTTGTCATATCAAATAAAGACAAAGAGAGAAGACGACCAAAGGTGCAGCAGTGCCTCTCTGTGTGGGGCATGTTTTGGGTAGAAGTGTCTAAACAGGCATTGGGGTGTAGGGGAGGCCCACAGCCTCTCAGCCTCCTTTTGAAAAGAATTTTTAGGAGCTTCTAGGGGTGTTGAGAAGAGGAAGGTGAAAGTGAGCTCCTCTCCAGATCGCCGGGTTTCCCAGAAGGGCCTCTGGAGAAAGGGGAGGGCACCTGGGCACTCTGCACTGGCTTTTCCCATGCTGTGACCCGCCATGGCTTGTAGGCCTCTGCACCCCATTCCCACCTTGGCTGGATAGAGCTGAGGCCTCTAGACCGGCAGCAGGCCCCACTGCATGCCAGAGCTAATTGGCAGGGACCGGTGGCTCCGTGGTACCTCTGAAGATCTCTCCCATGGCTAGGTGGTCCCTGAGGGGCCTCCCCGGACATAGAGGGAGGGCTGAGCCCTCGGCCCAGGGGCTCACTTGGTCCCAGGAAGAGTCTCAGAAAGAGTTGGTACTGCTTGGTAAAGGGGTGTGGGGGAGTTGGAGGAAACATGTCTTAGCTTTTTAGGATACTGAGGGAGACAGGAGCAAGGAGGGCAATCTACAGTGTACCTGTCGGGCAGGAAACCTTCAGACCGCCTCCCCACTTCTAGGGCCTAAGGCTCCACAGGACAATTAGCTGGGAAAGGAGCTGCATAGACTGGTGCCTGAGTCCTGTCTGTTTGCCATCATTTGTCTCAGTCTCTGGGATTTTGTGTGGAGGGGGAGGGTGGGCTAAAGGGACCGAGGAGGGGGGGGAAGCCAGATAATTCAGGTGGTGCCCTAGGCTGGCTGAGGCCCAGGCTCTGCTCTGCCCCAGGCTCCAGGGATGGGATGGGGGAGGAAGTACTTTATAGGAGAAACAAATGTGGGAAGGGTCCATAAAACTTTACTGCATTTCCTCTCCCGCCTCCCACAACGGGGTGATTTCCTGGAGCCAAGCCTAGGCCCCCCACACTGGGGGAGGGTGTGGTTCAGGAGCTGGGCTAGAACGCCTCAGGAGCAGCCAAGAGGGAAAGGGAGCAGAGACTCTGGGGAGGGGCAAGGGGAATATTTATGATTATTAATGGTGATGCTCCTTGGATTTATTGTAAGGACTGACTTCTCTGCATCCCACTGCCTGAGCTATCCGTCTTTTTTTTTTTTTTTTTTTTTTTTTTTAACCCAGGAGCCTTTCCTCACCCCATGCCCAGCACGTAGGAGGTCTGGACAAATGATTATCGAACTGCACCTATCTCTATACCCTTCCCTTTGCACTGCGCTCTGGCCAGACTCGCACACAGCAGCAGTCAGCCCAGCCTAGCACCAACTCGGCTCCTCTTCTCTCAATCTCTCTCTCTCTTTCTCTCTCACTCTCTGTCTCTCTCAAATAAAATGTGTAATTTTCTTCAGGGAGTTATTTTAATTTTTTCTCCATGCTGAGGAAAACTATTGGGCGAGCGGTGAAGCGTGGAGAAGCACTGGCGTCTCCAGTGGGTAACAGTTAACTAAGAAAGGGGCCGTGGCACCCACCACCACGCGCCCCAGCATCCCCCGGCTGCCTGCCGAGGCCCTGAGCTTCCTCCCCAGGGGACGCACCGCCTCAAGGGTGGAACCAGGGCCTTGGCCAAGGCCAGGGCCCGTGTTCCTCAGACCCGCAGGGTAGGGCGCACCGGCCCCACCTTGCTCTGAATGCCTTCTTCCGGCAGGGCTGGGTGCAGGCCTCTCTTTCCCTGGAGGGGCTGGAGGACTAGCCGAGGTTGGCCGGGCTGGGGTGGACGCAGCAGCTGCGCCTGCCCGCCCCCCGCCCCTCATGTCAGTCTGCAGGCCTGCGCCCAGGCCCCAGCCACAGCTTCAGCGGCGCCTGCGGCCACCACCTAGCCAGAGGCCTCCGACGCACTCCCCTAACGCTGGGAGTAGGTTCGGCCCAGGCCCTCGCTTTCTCTCGGAGCGGAGCCTTCTGCTTTGAAGGCTGAGGTGGTTCTCCCACCGGCCAGCCTCCTGGAACAATCTGCACATACCGGGGTTTGGCATTGCTCTGGGAAAGTTAGTGGAGGGGCTTCTGGGTCCCCAGCGGAGACCATGGAGCCTGCCTCTCCACTTTGCCCTGAAGCCCACCCCCTCTGGCAGCGAGAAAAAAGGGCAAGAAGCGTGACTTACCTTCCCGGGGGAGTGGGAAGAGGGGGACACGGCCCACTCTGAGCAATTAGAGGAGAGAGGAGGAAAAAAAAATAGGAGGAAAAAAATATCAACACGACCTCGTAGGCGACAGGTCCTTATGGAAATAAGTAAGTAAATAAATAAATAAATAAATAAGGATCCACCCTCTCCCCCCTCCCCACCCTGCAAGGGGGGTGTGGGGGTGGGGCAAAGGAGCAGCACAAGGGCTTTTTAGTGTAACTGAGCATTAGAGAAATACGCACGGCTTCTATGTGAATTTAGGAGTTTGAAACTTTTGGAGGTTATTTATGTGAATGGCCCGAAGGCAAGCCCGTGAGTGGCTCTTGGGGGACCACGTGATGTCATTAAACCAAGTTTTATGGTGTAGGGAGAGCTGACAAACCCACAATATATTTACATCATATATAATCTTAACTGTCCAGCCACGCAGCTGCTGGTGAGGTTTAATGCTAGGACAGAGGGCCTGGCAGTTAGAGGGGATTACGGCGCTGGGGATGGTGGTGAGAGTTACATCTTCGCAAATGAATCCCAGGCGAACGCTGTAAGTTCATTTTCTCTCTCTCTGACCCTTTCTCCCGTTTACCTAATCCTCCTCCCCAAGACGGGAGGCAGTTCGAGCTCTTTAAGGGGAGGGGAGGAAGGCCTCCCCAGGCATTCCCAGGCTAGGGTGGAGAAGAAGAGAAGGAGCCGCTGGGAGGTAGCAGGATGGGGGAGCTCGTCTCCTCTGACCAGCCCTCCCCTCCCTGCCCTTTATTCCCTCCAGCTGCAAGTCAACTGCGGTAAAGAGAGGCCTGGGTTCTTTAGAGCTTGACCAGGTCTTCCTGGCCCCCTCTCCCTCCTCAGTTGGGAAGAAAGACGACGGCTCGCACAGGGGTGTTGGGTGCTTGTGGGAGTGCGTAAACTCTAGGCGCAAGCGCAAAGTGCCCCCGGGGGCCCTGGGCCAGGGAGGGGCCGGTGGCTTAGGGTCCAGGCAGGCCAGGCAGCTGGAGAGGGAGGCCGGGAAGGAAGGCTTTGGGACTTCTGAGCCCACAGGCTGCGGCCTGAAATGGCAGAAGCATCTTAAAGGTGGCTGGTTTGAACCCAGGGAGTCCCAAAGCATTTTCTCCTTTCTCACCAACAGGCCTGGGGCGGGGGGGGGGGGAGGAGAGCAGGGGTGGGGGGCAGCTGTCCCAGTGCCTGTAGTCTGGGGTCTTAGTCCGCCTGGGACCAGTGTGGTTTCATGCCTCCTCCCTCCAGCCCTTGTCTGAGGGGTAAAAATAGGCCGGAGGCCTTAAGGTTCTGCTGTGAGTGGAGTGTAAATGAGTCGGAGAGTGGAGGCAATGTCTTTACTGGGCTGACCAGGGGAGATCCCAGTGCAGAGGAGAGAGTGGCCTCGGGGGGGGGATGGAGCCATCAGGGCGCAATACGGTTAGTGATTCCCTGGGGCTACCCTCAGGCTGGGGCTCCCTAAAGGTTTCTAGGAAGGAGCCGTGAAGGCGTCGGGCATGGGAGACACGTGTCCTCCGCACCTGCGAGTGCGTACCCCTCCCCACGCGTCACCCAGAGCTAAGCCAGGATGGCGAAGACATGGAAACTCAGGCCCACCATTTCTCTCCTATCTCGAGGGATTCCGAGGCAGGGCGGAAGGCGCCTGGCCTAGGCCAAGGGAAAGGGGAGGAGAGGGGATAGAGCGAGCCAGGTCAGAGCCCACCCAGAGGGGAGGACTGCCTCAGGGCGCGAGGGGGCCTGGACACCGCTTTGTGGAGAAGTGTGGTGGGGGGGCAGGGAGAGGACGCTGTCAGTGTGTCCCTCCCAGCCAAAGGACCGAGGGAGAAGCAGAGACGGAGAACCCAGGCAGACTCCGGGAGGGGGAAGGGGAACAGCGACCCAAAGACGCCGGTACTTGAGCCGATCCTGTCCCTGGCTCTAGCGGGCTCTCGCCTGCCTGCGTGAGGAGTGCTGGTGCGGGACAGGGGGACCTCCCCCATGCCC